AAAACAAAACCTGAGGCTGGACAAAGTGTGATGACTTGGCATAAGTCACAGAGCAGATTCCCAGCCAGACAGTCTGACCTCTTAACCACTACTCTGTGAGCAGAATATGCACCAAGCCTGACACATATCAGGTGCTCTGTAAACGGCAGCTATTAAGAAGAAATGAAGAGGATGTCATATGGCTTTTCTCTACCTAGCAAGAAACCAAATCAATGCTCATTCTTTATTTGCCTGAAAGATACTTTTTGTTCTAAGTAATGTCAATAATAAAATCTACCTGTAATAAGTATTCTCTCTGTGTCAGTCACTGTTCTAAGCATTTTTTAAAGATATTAACTCATTTAATCTCCATACAAGCTAACAAAGTAGGCATTGTTATTATATTATTGAACTTAAAGCAACTTACCCAAACTACACAACTAGTGAGTCACGAAACCAAGATCTGAAACTGGCAGCCTAGCCCCAGAGCCCTCTCCACCTGCCACACCTGTGGTCATGGCGTTGAGCCAGTGCAATCTCACCACCACCAACAGCTTTTCCCTTGCCAACATCTACCCCCTTAGAGGAAACATGTCGGTCAGGTAGCATTAATCTATATGAAGCACAGTGTCCGCCTTCACCCTGACCAGATGTGTGTTGGGGAACACTATTAAGAGAACACATAAGCCACCATGAGCTCATTGGTCCTGAGCCACATCTGGACCCCTGGGGACTCCAGATGTCAAGCTACATCTCACCTGTGACTCTGTCTCCATGTTGGAGCCAACGTCACCCACCCTCCTCAACTCCAGCTCTCCTCACCTCTCAGCAGATGAACTCCCTGCTACTTTTCAGAAAAACTAGAGGCTAGCAGAGGAGAGAACTCACAACTTCACCTGCAGTCTTACCTTGGCCTACACTGTTATTTCCTTCGTTCCAACTTCACCTTCCTTTCTATAGTGAATCCCTTTACTTTTTGTTCTGGAAGCTTCTGCTTTCTCAAAGACCTTACTCTAAGAATTTCCAAGAATGTCTTCAACTTCTCCTTCCCTGCTAGGTTCTTCCCTCCAGCACTCAGACATGCTCAAGTCTTTCATCTAAAAACAACATAATAATGACAACAATATTCTATGTTCCTAACCTGGTCCTGATTTCGATACCCATGTGTGCAGCTGTCCCTAGACATCCTCCTTCATCCCCAACCACATAACCCACGCAGCCATGCTCCTTCTCCCTACACTTTGCCTAGCGTTTGCCCAGCCTCAAAAGCTCATAACCATTAGGAGCACTCCCCCAACATCATAACTTACCTCTTTGTCCCAAAACTTACTGCCCATTCTTTTTTTTTTTGGTGGGAGGAGAGTCTTATTATGTTGCCCTCGGTAGAGTGCCATGGCGTCACAGCTCACAGCAACCTCCAACTCTCGGGCTTAAGCAATTCTCTTGCCTCAGCCTCCGCAGTAGCTAGGACTATGGGTGCCCAGCACAACGCCCGGCTACTTTGTTGTTCTTGTTGTTGTCATTGTTGTTTAGCAGGCCCTGGCCATGTTCAAACCCACCAGCCCCCGTGCATGTGGTTGACACCCTAACCACTGAGCTACAGGCGCTGAGCTACACTGCACATTCTTGTCCTTAAATCCTACAACCTCTTCAGAGCATACGAAGCTGTTGACTGTTCTCATTCTGAAATACTCTTCCCCTAGCTTCCAGAACACCACACTCACTACCCACCTCCCTGCCTCTCTAATTCCGTCTCGCTATGCTCCTATAGCTCTCTGTCCCTTCTTATATGTTGTTCCTTATGATTCTTTTCAGGCCTCTTCTCTTCCTTCTCAACTACAAATCTCGGGTAATTACATGTAATCCCATGGCTTTTATTATCAATGACAGATAACTTCCAAATATATGCTCCCAGCCAATCTGACTCTGATACCCATATATGTAACTGCCCCCTGGATATCTCCACCTGCATATCCCATAAGACTTTCAGCATATCCCAAACTGAAATCCTCCTCCTTCATGGCCACTCCTGCCCCTCTGGGTCTCTTTCCCCTTTAATCTCACTGCCCCATATCTCACCAGAGGTTAACAGCACTGTCCTAGTTAGGACTTAATTATGCCTCATGGATTGCACTTGCCAGCCACAACCCCAAACCAGCCTACCCAGGTAGGTGTATCTGAATCTTGGACTTTGGGGATATTCCCAAAGCAATATAGTTCTGAGGCCACAGGAGGGAAGGATACATAGTTTGCACTGGTCTATGTACCTGCAGTCTGCCCTGCTGAACAGACTTTTCTGCACGTCTTCAAGCATGGGTGCTGATTTCAACACATCAGGATTAAATACACACATTGGAACCCCTTCCTCCAGCCCCCTCTGCCATAGGCTTCTCCCAGCTACTCCCTTGTACCCTCCCACCAGAGGGTGGGAGCAACCTGACAGTGCTTCACCTTTTGCCATGCCATGCGTCTGCCACTTCCAGCCCCCGGGGCTTCTCAGATGCAAGGCCTGGCATCATGACTGCAGCTCACCACCAGGCAGGAGAAGTCAGCACCGTTAATGACCCTAGGATTTCCCTAACCAACAGGGATTCTGGATCTATAGAGAAAAGAGGCTCCTGCAGGACTGAGCGCCCCCTGCTACAGCAGTGGCGAAGGCAATCACTTTCCCCTCTCCATTTAGCTCTGACCTTCAGTCTGGCTCCCTGCTGGGCATCCCCTCCCAGGCTCTGCTTTCTAGAGGCCAAGGCTAAGACAGTGCTGCCTGGAAATGTTGCTTTGGGATTGGCTAAGAAGTTGCTGAGAAAGACAGAGTCCTCTAAGTTTCCACTACCTTTCTTTTTTTCGTTAAATTCTCTTTTGCTTTTTTCCCTCTTCTGGTGTTTCAATGACTAACATCGAGGTCCTGGTTAGGAAAGGTCTTATAGAAACCTGTTCTCAGAATGCTTCCAGCGTTCTGGTTATTTGAAGGACTGAGGTTAGAAGGACTAATTCTAATCAGGGTTGTCCTGGTTCCTAGATTAGGGAGTAATTTTTGCTGGATTAAGGAGTAAGGAGTAACCTAGCTCAAATCACTTCAGTCTTTCTGGGAGGGTTTTCTGAGCTGTAAAGTGGGGCTATAGGGGCCCAGACTATTTTGCAGGGTGTTGGGAATCGAAGGAGATGATGGGGGAGATGTTCTTTTTTTAAAGGAGATCAACAATAGAAGAACCTTCGGGTTACTGGGGAGCAAGGAGGGTAGAGACCAAAGCACGGCCCTCCAGGGGTCTCCAGCGCTCCACATGCCAGAGGAGGCTGGCGAGCTGCCCCAGCGCCGGTTCCTGGGGCGGCTCGGTTTACTCTAAACAGACTGGGGCCAAATCCGCGGTGTTTACTGGAATCCTGGTGATTTGCAAACCCCAGATGTCAGACTTCCTGTCCCGAGGAGGTTCTCAACTCGCAGCTCTGCTCTAACTCCCTTCAGCCTTCACCAGAATAGAGAGAGCCGAGCTGGGAGTTGGGCTGCAAGCGGGAGGAGCAAGGACCGTCCCCCGACAGCCGCACCCCTCCTCTCCCCACCCCAAAGGCAGGAATTTCTGGGATGGGCAGATGGTCCACCCCCTCTTCCTCCTCCTTCCCGCAGCTGGGGTGGTGGGGCGGGGAAAACCTCCAGGACTTTGCCATCTCCCAGCCTGAGCCCCGAGTGCCTGTTCACTGTAGCGACAGGGGTGACGAGCTAGGTCTTGGGGGACAGGGGTGGCGAGCCCCCGGGAGGGGTGGAGCGCGGAGGAGGCCGCAGTCCCGCCTCCCGCGCCCCAGGGCCGGGTGCTACGTGCGCCCCTCTGGTCCCCTCCGGAGCGACAAGGGGAGCCAGCGAGTCCAGTGGTTAGCGATGCTGCCGCGGTCGCTGCTGTCGCTGCTGCCACTGCTGCTGCTGCTGCTGCTGCTGCTGGGGGCACCGCGGGGCTGCGCCGAGGGCGCGGGGGCGACGCCCACCCCCGAGTGGGCCCTCGAGTGGCAGGGTGAGTGTCCCCAGGGCTGCGGGAACAGATCTGTACGTTGGGGCTAGTGGGGGGGGGGGAGGTGATCGAGGGAGAGGTCGAAGGAGCGACGCTAGGGGCAAAGGCAGAGGCTGGCTAGAGCGGCGGGGTCTGGGCATCGGCCTGGTGCCCGCTGTCCCGCCCCGCGTTCTCCGGGCCCTCCGCCCGCCCCCGCCACCTCGCATCCTCCGGCTGCCCAGGGGGCGCGGCGAGGGGCGGGGCTCGGTTTCCGTGCAGCTTGGCTCTGCTCGGCTCTGGACGGGTCTCTAGCTACCCGCAAAAAACCGGTATAGGAGGGTAAAAGTTTCAAAATGGAAACTTTCGGAGAGTTGTTTCTTTGGTAGGATCCGTCTGGGATAAATGACGGCAAAATGATGGCTCATACGTCCCCTACCGAAGCCAGTGCGCGGGGTGGGGTGTGCGCTGCCACCTGCGGAGCGGCGAGCCGCCCTTAGGGAACTTCCTTCTTAACACCTCTCCGACCCGGTGAGAAAGGGGAGGGACAGGAGCCCCTGTGGCCCGGGTGAGCTGCGTGAGCTGGAAAAAGTGACCCTCTTTGCTCCTTAGTTTCTCTCTGCAGAAAAATGGTGTCGGTAGTACTCACGGGACCACGAAGAACTGGGTTACCCCCTGAAACACCCAACACACACATGTGCAAGCGGGTCAATTCAGCAAACATTCATTGGGTCCTCCTAGACTCAGTAAGACTCAGATGGCCATGCAGACAAACCTGAAGCGAGTCGCAGGGGCCCCCATTCCGGCATGGGCCGCTGCTCCGGCAGAGAGCCCACGTCCAGGAGCAAAATCGGGGGTGGGGGGGCAGTTCAATCAAGGAGAAGGAGCCGTCGGCCTTCTCACTCTCCGCTCTTTGGGAGAAGTTGGGAGAGAGGGGGTAAAACAAAGTGCGATCAATACCTGCGTTCATGTTTTTCCTCCTCGGTATGATGTGTATATATTTTTGAAACAGTCTTTTCTGGACTGCCTTTTCCAGCACTCCCTGGGGGATTTATTAGGGACGGTGGAACAAGACCATTCTTGTGCAAAGGTCAGAGATGCTGTTAACTTTTTGCTTTGCTCTGCGAACATTGCTTTGGTGAATGCACATTTGTCTCCTGGTGTGGTCCATCACCGCCAGGTCTTTACTGTGCGGTGGTTATTCTTTCACGTTTCGAAGTGTGGGTTCTGCCAGGGCACTAGATGGTAAAATAGGGCTGCAGGCGGAAGGACAGAGCTAGACGGGGCCACGCAGAGTGTGCTGGTGATCCTCTGAGCCATAGGCTAATCCCTTCTATATGTAGCAGACCCAAATCCAGGCCCGAGATAGTTCCTAATCAGTGCCTTCTTTTTAGTAGTCAAGGACACTCTGAAATTAGAACCATCTGCTACCTCTTGTAGCCTCTAGGTGCAGTTTGCAAATCTGAGGGGGTTGACAGTTGGCATAGAGATTTTTCAGATGTGAATACACTGCTACTGATGTTCTAAAGGGGACAGAGATAAGGTACCCCAATCCTCATGCACCTTCCCCTCTCTGACCAGTCACCCACCTCAATGGAACTTAAAGTATAAGCTGGACACGTTTGAAATCAAGTTTTTCTTGTCTATACAAAGATGGAAAAACAAAATGTTAGCATTCAAAAGGACTCACGACACTGCCTATCGAAATCACCCATTCCACAGATGTGGAAGCTGAGGCACAGCCACTTTGTAGTTAGCCCTGCTTCAGGGTCCCTCAGTTTACTGCTGAGTTCACTGTTCCACACTGACTCACATGTAGCCATGATCAATATCCACAGAGAAACTGGGGGGAAATACAATAACTATCAATATGATAACTATCTTTCATTTCTTGTCCACTAATAATGGACATACAATAATGCACTTTAGATTATATATATAGTATCTTTCATCTGAACTGTTTGATATGTATTGTTTTATATATATCATTAATAGATCTGATATAACCATACCAGCATTGGGAGGCAGATGGCAGATTGTATCATACTGACTTTTCAATCATTTATCAATAATTTTGTATTCAAAAATCAGTAGATACGGTAGTTAAGTTCATGGGCTTTAGAGCCAGACTGTCTGAGTATGAGTCTTGACTGTGACATTCACCAGTTGTGTGACCCTGGGCGTTACTTAACCTCTCAGTGCCCCAGTTTCCTCACCTGTAAAAATGGAGCTGATAATAATACTTATCCAAGCCTGTCCTGTGTTGCCCTGCTATTGCCACAGCATCCTCTTCCCCTGGTCAATGCAGACCATTTTGACAGGTTGGCTCCCTGTAACCATTATTTACTGCCCCCTTCACAGTGCTGTGCTTGGAAGGTCTGAATCCTGTTCCCTACCTCTAGCTTGCTCTACCAAGGAGCCTCACTGCGGTTTGTTTTCCCTAATTCAGAATCTGAGCTCCTCTTCTAACAAGTGACCAGACATGATAACATCACTCACTCAAGTACTCGAGGTACTAGGAAGGCAGGGGGAGGATGAGGAAGGGGACATAGCATCCTGGGGAAAGGTGGATCAAGTCTTCGCTAAAGGAAATGAACTGGGGACACGTGAAAGGGTTTTGAAGCTGCCTTGTAGCTAAGAACCACCCACCAATATAGTAGAAGAGTTTCTTCTGCTTGGTTTCCCAGAGGCAGGAGTGGAGAGTGGCCAAAGCTGTATCATCCTTGGGAACTGTCAGGGTCTGGCTCTTCTGAATAATCAGTGATATAGGGAAGCGAGGGTGCTGCTGAGCATGAGGTCAATGTGCTTGACCATGGGGTCCCATCTGGAGAGAAGAGGAGGAAGGGAGTGAGTAGGTGGCAGCTCTTGACATTCGGCACCAATGGAGAGAAGGTGAGGGGCTGG